CTGCACTCCAGTCTGGGCGACAGAGTGAGACTCCAACTAAAAAAAAAAAAAATGTATATCCATTTTGTTTGGCACCCTCAGAATACTACATTCAATCAATACACAAAATAACATGTTTAGGTCAATCTCACTGCTTGCAATTTTTCAGATGCCAGTTGCGTTGCTTCGGGCGTGAAGTGTTCTCTTAGTAGAAATCCTTGCATGTTCAGCTCTTCAAGGTAATTTTCATAGTATTCACATGCATCTGCAGCACTTTTCCTTACTGAGAACTCTCTTCTTGTCTGTTAATTACAGTATATACCAAAAGTACAGTAATTATTTGCATATTTCTATTTATTGGACAGCTACTATGTTCTGAACATAAGTAAGGCATTCGGTCCCTGCCATGAAGGAGTTTAGAACCTAGTTTTTTTCAAAGAATTACTAAAATTTTCCATTCTTTGCAAAACAGCCTAAAACCCGGATGTAAGAGGAGAAAAGATTGAAATGGCACAATAGACAGAAGTGACCCATTATTAATCACTAAGGGTCATTCAAAGGTTCATTCCCAGCCTACAGACTTACTTCACAATCCATTTTTTTTTTTTTTTTTTTAGTTTAAGTCTCACTCTGTCGCCCAGACTGGAGTGCAGTGGCCGCACCCGGCCACCGCAGCCTTGACCTGCTGGGCTCCAGCGATCCTTCCACCTTAGCCTTCCGAGTAGCCGGACTTACAGGCATGCACTACCACGCTTGGCTGATTTTTTTAAAATTTATTGTAGAGATGAGATCTTGCTGCCCAGGCGGGTCTCGAACCCGCAGGCTCAGGCAATCCACTCACCTCAGCCTCCCAAAGGTGTGGGATTACAGGCTGAGCCACCGAGCCCGGCTCACAATCCATTTTAACTGGCTTTGAAATCAGTCTTTCCAGCATTCTGGAAATAAGGAAAATAAATCAGGGGAGGGGAAGAAAATAAAAAAAAACTTGGCCGGGCTCAGTGGCTCAGCCTGTAAATCCACCATTTTGGGAGACGGAGGTGAGTGGATTGCCTGAGCCCGAGGGTTCGAGACCAGTCCTGGCAACTTGGCGAGACCTTGTCTCTACACTAAATACAAAATTAGCCAGGAGTGGTAGTGTGTGCCTGTAGTTCCAGCTGCTTGGAAGACTGAGGCAGAAGAATTGATGGCGCCCAACAAGCTGACGCTGGGGTGGCCATGAATATGCCACTGCACTCTAGCCTGGGAGACAGAGTGAGACTCGAGCTTCAACAACAACAAAAAAAAAAACCTCAGAAAGGAGGTATTGTTAGAGACAGGCACACAGTCAAAACAAAAGAATGCATGCCTGCTCTTGCTAAGACAGTCAGGGCCATTGCTTTGCTAAACTCTAGTGTGTCCACATGGCTCTTTGAGCTATGACAGCCGTGTTTCCTAGCTCTGGCATCCCCTCCCCTACCTTGGAGAGGTGAATCTTCTCTCTCTCTCTCTCTAATTTACTTTCCAAATAAACTATATTTTCCAATCTAAAAAAAAGTCAGTCAGAAGGCACAAGACCCTGACATCACTGTGAAGCAGGATAGGGTCTGGGCTTCTCACTGAGGACCAAGACCATGCCTGTCTCTCAGGCCTCCTGACAAGCTCTGGGCCAGAGGATCAGATTTCCTGAATAGCCAGTACCAGAAGCCCACCTATGATCAGCTCTTGGGCCTGACATTTGACAGACAGAGCTGTCTAGTTTTCTTGGACGCTTATCTTCTCCTTAGTGCTCTTAGTGTATCCTTTCTTCAGGGTACGCGGATGGGCGCTCCAGGTGGCAGCAGGAAAACTGTCAGGTTGTGCCAACTGCATTGACTACACAGAACAGGGCCTTAGGAAAGGCGCCAGTTCCTCCTTCATTCCAAACTGCCTGTGGATGTGGCATTTTCTGCTCTTCTGGAAAATCCCTGACTCTATAATGAAGCAGTTATCCTAAGAATATGGGAGAATTTGCCTCAGCTGGGAGCCCTGGCGTCCTTATAAATGCTGCTTAAGGCCCTGGTTAGGGGATGCAGCACCCTCCCCAGGAGGATACACTACTTTGGACACTGACATGACCCCCCCAAGATTGGCTGCAGGATGCCACCAAAACTTGGAAAGAGAAGTGCATGTTGAGGTCACTGCATTTAAGAAAGCAAAGTTTCACATAATTTTAGAAGATTTCTATCAAAATGGTCATATCAAGGAGCAGGGCAAGCTGGGAAATTCTCTTCTGCAGAATGGCTCTTTCATCGCGGGTTGCGTGAGGATTATTTCTAGAAAGGAGGCCCAGTTTCTCTTCTCCTCAAACCAGGCCCACCCGGGGCGCTCTACTTGTTCTCAGACTCGGGCTTGCTGAGGGAGGAAGCACCCAACAGGACAGAGGGCCTATGCAGCATTACAGTTTTCAGTGAAGAGAAAAATTGTAACACATACTGCCATGGTTTTCAATTCAATTTTTACTAACTCTTTACCCAAACAACTAAATCCTCCACAAAATATAGTATCTATTTCTGGGTACAAGATTAACAAAACCCTTTCTCCTTCTTGGCACGTCTGACCTTGAATTAACTCTCTAGCTCTGTTCCCATGGACACCTGACAAAGGTGGAATATGGGCTGCAACATTGGGCAAAACTGCTTAGGTAACAGTGATCTCTCATTGATGACCTGCATTAGGACTGGGAGTTCAATGATAGGAAATCCAAGCTTTGTGCTTCCCTGAGGACTCATGTAAGACCCTTGAAGGCATGCTGAACTCATGCTGATGTTGCAAGAGGTTGGGCTCCTGTTGGGATAGGGATTCTAAGCTAGGGCTCTCATTCCCACCTCCTGTGAGTCTCCCTTCCCTGAACCTAAGCTGACACCCAGGGTGGGGGCAAAGAGAGAAGCTTCCAAATCCTGTACGGGCCATTCCCACTGATAATCAACTGTTTCCTGGACCACAGTAGACCTGTAAGTCTGAATGTCTTGTTGAGAAGGCACCCTTGTGGGTGTCACAGCATTTTATTTGAACTTCATGCATTCATTCTGATTTTTGTTTCATGATTCTTTTAGATTGTAACTAACCTGACACCTACTTAGGGCAAAGGTCACAGCTTCTGCAGAGCCTCTCTTGCCATCCCTACAGCTCTGTGACCAGAGCACTCCATACTTCATACACATTTCAGGGTCAGAACTGTCACAGAGGATCACAATGATGGAAGTGTTGCCTCTATCCAGATGGTGATTTTTGAGGGTGATTTTTGAGACTATTAAGCATGTTTTGTCATTGGGTCCCAGCCCTAGCAGATTGCTTCGTACAAAACAGGTGCTTAATGAAGTGTGTCAATGGGGTGCCTTCAGAGGTGTGCACGAGGAAAATATCCCATAAATGATGTGGAACAAAAACAGGAACCCTATGTGCTCTGTCCCCAGGGAACATTTCTTCTAGCAGGACCCCATGTCGCTCCACCCAGGCAGTGAGGGCCTCACCTCCCATACTCCAAAAGAGAACACATTTCCCTTTGCAAGGCTATTTGCCAGGTGTTATGGGCTGAACTGTACCCTGCAAAATTCATATGATGAAGTCCTGACCCCTAATACCTCAAAGGGGACTGTATTTAGAGACAGAGCCTTTAAAGAGCTAATTAATTAGTTAAATGAGGTCATAGGGTGGGCCCTGGCCCAATATGACTACTGTCCATATAAGGAGAGGAGATTAGGACACAGATAACCACAGGGGTAAGGCCATGTGAGGACACAGCGAGAAGGTGGCCATCTGCAAGCCAAGGAGAGAGGCTTCAGAAGAAGTCAACCCTGCCATGCCTCAATCTTGGACTTCCAGTCTCCAGCCATGTAGGAAATAAACATCTGTTGTTTAAGGCCCCTTATCTGTGGTATTTGTTACAGCAGTCTGAGCTAAGACACCAGGGAAGAAGAAAAAGGTTAGCAGGTGGGCTGGTTCATTGGCAATTTTAAGGAAACTGGTTAAGAACAGGGACAGATAAACAAATAGGAATCAACATCAAGAGCACTACCTGCACGCCGTCAGCCAGGAGGAAGTGTGCAGACACCAGAAAAGGGCAGTTGCCAGAGTCTTGGGAGCACTGAAGCTCTACCACCACGGCTTCCTGGCCTCCCTCCAGCCCCACCTGGAAAACAGGATGTGCTTTCAGAAGCTGCGACTGGGAAGCAACAAACCACACTTGCCATCTGCAAACGTGGATTACCATTCTAAAGTAATACCTGTTCATCTAGAAATACAAGATAGAAAATACGGAGAAGAATAAGGAAGAAAATTAAAATCACCTGAAATCCTACTACAGACATGTAATTACTAGTAAGATTTTATTGGTTTTTCCCTCCTGTATTTTTAGATATATCTGCATACTTATACTAAAACACTTTTCATATTTTCTTTATCACAGAGGGAAATGTAATATTATATTTTTAAGACAAACTAAATTTAACAGAAAAAATATATGATATTTTATTAACATAGCTAAAAAGTACAAATGGGGCATCATTTGGAAGGCTAGTGATTTTATATATATATATATATATATATATATATACACACACACACACACACACACACACACACATACATATTTCTCTTTTTTTTTTGAGTCGGAGTCTCATTCTGTCACCTAGGCTGGAGTGCAGTGACGCATTCACGGCCACCACAGCTTCAACCTGCTGGGCTCAGGGGATCCCTCTGTCTCAGACTTCCAAGTAGCTGGAACCATAGGCACACCCCACCATGCCTGGCTTATTTTTAATTTTTAATTGTAGAGGCGAAGTCTTGCCAAACTGTCCAAGTTTCTCAAATCTCCTCTCAAATCCCTTCTCAAATCCCTGGGCTCGGGCGATTCTCTTGCCTCAGCCTCCCAAAGTGCTGGGATTACAGACATGAGCTGCTGCGCAACGGTACACACACACACACACACACACACACACACACACACACACACACACACGGAGAAAGAGAGAGGGAGAGGTGGGATATTGCTCCGTTGTCTAGACTGGCCTTGAATTCCCGGGTTCAAGCGATCCTGCCACCTCAGACTCCCAGGTAGCTGGGACTATTGGCATTATATTAAAAATAAAAACCTTCTTTCCTGCTATTAACAGTTTCTTGTATTTGGAAAGGGTAGATTTGACACCATGTATTTATACTGTGTTGAATTTCCATTTCTTTTGCATTAAAAAGAAAAACAAAAAAAATTTTTTTTTTTATAAAGTTGCACAAATGAAAATCAACAACTAGTGTCCAGCACTTTGGGAGGCTGAGGTGAGTGGATTGCCTGAGCCCGCGGGTTCGAGACCCACCTGGGCAGCAAGACCTCATCTCTACAATAAATAAAAAAATCAGCCGGGCGTGGTAGCGCATGCCTGTAATTCCGGCTACTTGGAAGGCTGAGGCAGAAGGATCGCCGGAGCCCAGCAGGAGAGGCTGCGGTGGCCGGGACCAGCCACTGCACTCCAGTTTGGGCGACAGAGTGAGACTCTAACTCAAAAAAAAAAAATTTTTTTTTGACTATTAAAAATCTACTTGGCATGCACCTATAGTTCCAGCCACTTGGAAGGCTGAGGAGGAAGGATCGCCAGAGCCCAGCAAGTCAAGGCTGCGGTGGCCATGAGTGTGCCACTGCACTCCAGCCTGGGCAACAGAGTGAGACTCCAACTCAAAAAAAAAACCAAAAAAAAAAACCTACTTGTATTTTAAGGAATAATGACATTTAGAATATGTACAACTTTTCAAAACAATAAGAACATGACTGAACAGGAAAAATACTTGGCAGACAAGCAGGTTTTCTTTTTAATTTTGCTAACCAGAAATCAAGCTCTTACTTTTTCCAAGGCGTTATATTTTGCAACTTCAAAATCTTGAGGAAACTGAGGAATTTCAACATTCTCTGTATGAAACCTGAAATTTGTACAGTGTATAATTAACATGTTAACATTCTAATGAATTTTAGGTTAAGCACAATTTGATAAACTTTTTCTTGTAGATCTTCTAAGTCTTTTCAAAATACATCCTAAGTACCTAATGCATCTTCAGGTATTCTAGAAATGGCTAAAAGATTGTGTGAAACTAGCTGGACTCTTTCTCTGCAAGCTCCTCCAGCTCAGATGCCCAATACCACGGTGTCTATACCGAAAGGCGAGGGCACATGCAGAAAGGCAGAGGCAGAAAGAAATGGACTGTGCACATGAAACGGGCACTTGTCACTTGTGTTTGGTGTGGGAATTATACAGAGGAGGAATCTAGCTTGTCATTTGTGTTCTGACTCTAAGAAGCCGCCACTCCTCTGTGGACCACAGTCAACTCCTCTGTAAAAGAAAGAAGTTGGACTTCTCATAATCCGCACTTTTTATTTTAGATTTTGTTGTCTTTCAACACTACTACTGGCAAATACAAGAAAACCAAAAGTGATGCTCAATTAACACAGCAGCTTGGGGGAGATTCAAGAAGCCACACTTCAGAACTCTAGACTCAACATACTCCAGTTGAGGAAGGAGCTGTTGTTTCCACTTTTGAAAATATCAGGGAACACGTAAGAAACTGTCTTTACTCCAAAGGCTGCAAAGTAAAGTGAGAGGGTGAGCAGGCTGCCAGAATCTCATTGCCAGTGATTTTTCATTTTAAAAATCAATGATTCTGCCACATCGGTGGCTCAGCCTGTAATCCTGCGCCTTTGGGAGGCTGAGGTGAGTGGACTGCCTGAGCCTGCGGGTTCAAGACCTGCCTGGCCAGCGAGACCTCATCTCTCCAATAAATCAAAAAATCAGCCGGGCGTGGTAGCGCGCGCCTATAATTCCGGCTACTCGGAAGGCTGAGGCGGAAGGATCGCCGGAACCCAGCAGGTCGAGGTTGCGGTGGCCGGGAGCGGCCGCTGCACTCCAGTCTGGGCGACCGAATGAGACTCCAACTCAAAAAAAAAAAAAAAAAATCAATGATTCTAACAGTTACACACAAGCTCATATAATACTGAGAAGGTAAAAATAATTATCACTATATTAGTTAAAATAAAAAGTCTTATAAATAAAAACTTACTAGTTAAATAAGCAAAATAAATTAAAATGCTACAAAAGTCTACAAATAGTATTTTAAAACTGTGCTTGAGGTTTACAAAACATTTTGCAAATTCTGTAGAGTCCTAAGGATCAGAAGTAGATTACTTAGTGAGTTCCACCATGTTTTCCTTCTCTATGGCATCGTCCAGGGAAATATCATCTGTTCTCACTTCTGTAATTAAAACAAACAAAGGTTTATTAAAATTAGTTTTAACCTGACTGCTGGAATTGTTTTTGTTTTGAGTTGAGGCCTCACTACTGTTGCCCCGGCTGGAGTGCAGTGGTACAATCATGACTCACCACAGCCATGACCTCCTGAGCTCAGGCGATCCTTTCACCTCAGCCTCTCTGAGTAGCAAGGACTACAAGCATGCACCACCATGCCCAGCTAATTTTTTTATTTTTTGTAGAGACCAGGTCTCACTATGTTGCCCAGGCTGGTCTCGAACCCCTGGGCTAAAGTAATTGTCCTGCCTTGGCCTTCCAAATTGCTAAGATTATAGGCGTGAGCCATTGCGCCTGGCCTGGAATTGTTAAGATTCATAAATATGTCCTTAAACTAGCTATAGTTATTGGTAATCTGAGGACAATACCAGCGGGAAAAGAGGAAGGTGTGGTGGATTGCCTGAGCCCGAGGGTTTGAGACCCGCCTGGGCAACTTGGCAAGAACTCATCTCTACAATAAATCAAAAAATTAGCCGGGCGTGGTAGCGCGTACCTGTAGTTCCAGCTACTTGGAAGGCTGAGGCAGAAGGATTGCCGGAGCCCAGCAGGTCAAGGCTGCAGTAGCCGGGAGCGTGCCACTGCACTCCAGTCTGGGCGACACAGTGAGACTCCAATTCAAAAAAAAAAAAAGAGTAAGGTGTGTGTAAGATAGTGAAAATACATTCTTTTTTTTCTTTTTTTTTTTTAAGAAGGATTTGTTGAGAGGACACAAAAGCTCCCAAAATGGGAGAGGACCCAAGGGGGTTCCCAGAACATTCTAATTCTTTTTTTTTTTTTTGAGTTGGAGTCTCACTCTGTGGCTCAGGCGAAGTGCAATGGCATGTTCACAGGTCACTGCAGCTCGTGATCCTTCCACCTCAGCCTTCCAAGTAGCTGGAACCACAGGTGCACACCATCACGCCTGGCTAATTTTTTTATGTATTGTAAAGACAAGGTCTCACCATGTTGCCCAAGCTGGTGTCAAACCCCTGGGTTCAAACAGTCCTCTTGTCTCTGCCTCCCAAAGTGTTGGGATTGCAGGCATACGCCACCGTGCCTAGCCCCTAATTCTATTTTAATAGGCATTTCAGAATTCTAATCTGTTATTATTTGAAACTCATTGACAGTCAGACAATTTTTGAGTGGCATTTTTCTTTTCTGAAAGAGGACATAGTTGTGAAATAGCTATGAATTAAAATCCTATAGCATATTACCGGGTCAGAATGAGTTCCTGAGAGTCATCATAAACAAAGGAAGTGGGGATATTCTAGTTTACAGGAGGGAAACTCAAGGGTCCTCTATGACCTTTTGTTTCATATTTTTTGTATAGAGGAACCATAACACCATCTATAGCACTAAGATATGTAGGAATTTTTCTTTTTGTTTGTTTGTTTTTTGAGTTGGAGTCTCATTCTGTCACCCAGACTGGAGTGCAGTGGCTGCTCCCGGCCACCGCAGCCTCGACCTGCTGGGCTCCGGCGATCCTTCCGCCTCAGCCTTCCAAGTAGCTGGAACTACAGGCACGCGCTACCACACCCAGCTAATTTTTGACTTATTGTAGAGATGAGGTCTCGTCAAGTTGCCCAGGCGGGTCTCGAACCCACGGGCTCAGGCAATTCACTCACCACGGCCTCCCAAAGTGCTGGGATGACAGGCTGAGCCACCAAGCCCAGCCGATATGTAGGAATTTTAATGCAATAATTTATTTCCAGTTTTAATTACATTATGAAGATTTCAAAGATCATCAGTGTATTTGTAATAATTCTAAAACTGAATAAATTATTCTGAATGTTGAACAATGTGTTTTCAACATGAAGGGAGTCTACTATTTTGCCTGTTTCTGTTTTAACTATCATTTTCTGAGACAGCAAAAAAGTCTGATCATCAGCAGCATTTCTGGACAATTGCATGTCTAAAAAGGCTCCACCCTACCTTTTTTTTTGAGTCAGGTTCTTGCTCTGTCACCCAGGCTAGAGTGCAGTGGCACGACCACGGCTCACCATAGCCTCAACATCCTGGGCTCAAGCAATCCTTTTGCCTCAGCCTCCTTAGTATCTGGGATTACAGGTGTGTGCCACCACACCCAGCCAATTTTCTACCAAGTTATTATGATAGCTAACACATGCCATGTGTTTACTGTAAGTTAATGTTTATCAGAACTGCTTGATTTTTTTGTGTGACTCATAAGGAGTGTATTTCTCTATGTCCAAAGTCTTTCTTCTTGGCCAGATTCCAAAATAAAACCTGAGTTTATAAAGTAGATATGATTCTTTTGAGATCATTCTTTGGAAAGAATGTCTCTAGCAAAATGGAATTTATAAAATTTCCAGTCATTAAGTTGTGGTAATAACTTTTTAACGCAAAGCTTTCCCCCCTCCTAGTTAAAATTACAATCAAGTATTGAGTTTATTAGGGTTTTTGTGGCCATTTTGAGTTTGACCCCATTAGACTGGATGTCAAGAAAGCTATTTCACTGGGCTCGGTGGCTCAGCCTGTAATCCCACAGCTTTGGGAGGCCAAGGTGAGTGGATTGCCTAAGCCTGCGGGTTTGAGACCTGCCTGGGCAACTTGGCGAGACCTCATCTCTACAATAAATCAAAAAATCAGCCGGGCGTGGTAGCGCGCGCCTGTAGTTCCAGCTACTTGGAAGGCTGAGGCGGAAGGATCGCTGGAGCCCAGCAAGTCGAGGCTGCGGTGGCCGGGAGCGGCCACTGCACTCCAATCTGGGCGACAGAGTGAGACTCCAACTCAAAAAAAAAAAAGGAAAGTTATTTCTACTGATAAAGTATTCTTTTGTCCTTCATTACTTTGCTGCCCATTTTCGGGAGGTAATAAAAGGTCTATTTGTTTTGTAGTACTTCTGGACAATTATTTATCTATTATTATCTGATAAAGCAAAAGTTTACTATAGTCCCTAGGGCACATTAAGTGCTTACTATGAAACACTTACCAGAACCGCTTGCTTTTTGATCGGGAGGTGGCGTTATGTCCAGTGACCTGTTAGGATCATAATTCTTCACATCCAAAAGCCTCCTTTCCTTGATAGACTCCCATATAAAATCTGGGTTTGCAATATGAATATGTTTCTTTTGGATAGAGCTCAGTTGATACTGACTCAGAACATCAGCATTGTCTAAGATCATATGTGTGCACTAAAGAAAAAAAAGGGTCAATTCATCATGTATTAGTACAAACAAAATTTAAATAATTTGTATCTGTAATTTTCATCCTTAAAGAGTCTTAAGGTAGCTTGTAAAAATTTTTCTCAGATTTCTAACACTTTTACAAACAATGCAATTTTTAGTGATGTAAACATTTTTTAAATAAAGTTTTTAAAAGAATAAGGATAATTATTTTAAATAATGATTAATCAACCCATAATGGATAAATCAACCTTAGAGGTTATTTCTAAATTTTCACTATTATAAACAACACTGTGATGTATATCCTCAAGGACACATTTTTGTGCACTTGTCGAGTTATTTCCTTAGAAGTGGAAAGGGAGGTATAGAAAGGTTACTCATTACTTATGTATTTTAGCTTGTTAATTTGTACTTTTAGTTTTGAATAAATAGTACAGGAATGTTGTAGAGTATCTAAAAGGTTAAATAAGAATAGTGCTATGTTAACTTTGTTTCTAGCTCCTCTCCCCAGAGGCACTGCAGTAACTTCCCTGAGAGTTCCAGAGCTAACTACCTTGGCAATCACGCCTCATCATTACCTACAGAGCTGTCTCCTTTATAATCGGTGATATGCACATTTCAAATGTTTACATACATTGGCAAAAAAAATTTCCCAAAAGGCTGTGCTCACAGTATGTGAGTTCTGAGAAAGAGAGACTGTCTTGGCAGTTCTCCATGTGGAAGACAGACTAAGAAGGCAGAGCAGGTGCGAACCATTCACTAATTCCCAGAAACGGTGAAACATGTATATAATGAAAACCATACAAGGGAAGTATAAACCATTCAACCTAAACTGGAAGTAAACAGGGACATTCTATTTCTAATATTACCTGCAGCTGAAGGGGCTTCACAGAGCAGACAAGGCTCGCTGTGGCCTAGCCCCAGGGCCGAGGCCCAGGGAGGGGCGGGCTGAGCCAACCCATCCATCCCTCAGCAGAGAAACAGCAATGGACAGGGGTAGACAGGCTTGGTACTGAATGACTTTAGACTTTAATTTTTTTTTTTTTTGAGTTGGAGTCTCACTCTGTCACCCAGACTGGAGTGCAGTGGCCGCTCCCGGCCACCGCAGCCTCGACCTGCTGGGCTCCGGCGATCCTTCCAAGTAGCTGGAACTACAGGCCCGCGCTACCATGCCCGGCTAATTTTTTGACTTATTGTAGAGATGAAGTCTCACCAAGTTGCCTGGGCGGGTCTCGAACCCCCCGGGCTCAGGCAATCCACTCACCTCAGCCTCCCAAGGCGCGGGATTACAGGCTGAGCCACCGAGCCCAGTCTTGACATCTGGGAAGTGACTACAGACTGCCTTATCTCCTTCAAAAATGGGTGTGGCAGGTCGGAAATTCTATTTTCGTCTTTGGTTGTGTTTTAATAATAACTGCTTCTCGGGGCTTGTGGGTTTGACCTGCAGCTTAAGGACAGGGAGAGGATAGGCCTCCCAGGGCCCAGACTCACAGGGGCCTCTCATGCTTCTGGCTAATGCTCAGAGTTCCCTCACTGTCTCTTGCTGCTAATCCCTGGTTCCTCTCCTAACCATGACCCCGTTCCCTGCAAGCACAGTGATTATCAAACATTAGCTTATGAGACTTGGAAATACCTGAGGATTTAATAAGAAGGAAAACTTTCCACCATGTTCCTTAATGTTCGTTTGCAGCTTTTTCCTCTGCTGCCGAGGTAAGTACTTGACTTTCAAACAGAAGGTGCAGTTTGCAAAGATTCCCACAGTCATCCTGCAGGAAAAAAAGTTTCAAATCTTAAGGACTCTTTTAAGTAAATGTAATTGACAGCAAATGTAGAGTTGTGCTACATGCAAACTGTGGGAAAAGCAGGCATTATTTTAAGAAAATATTTAAATCCCGTTAAAATCACAAACACTGTCCTAGCTTGCAGTATGTATGTTGGTTTTAGAATCACTTTTAGCATTTATGACTGATATTATGACACAAAAAAACCCTTTGTACAGGCTCATAATATACATCTTATAAAAACACGACATTTCAGTTACAGATCAAGTGTGTTTCAGTTACAGATCAAGTGCTCCCTCAAGAACAGGGAAGCATTTCTTTCTTTCTTTGTTTTTTGAGTTGGAGTCTCACTCTATTGCCCAGGCTGGAGTGCAGTGGCACACTCATAGCCACCCCAGCATCAACTTGCTACACTCCGGCAATCCTTCTGCCTCAGCCTTCCAAGTAGTCGAAACTACAGGTGCATGCAACCATGCCTGGCTAATTTTTGATTTATTGTAGAGACGAGATTTTGCCAAGTTGCCTGGGCTGGTCTTGAACCCATGGGCTCAGGCAATCCACTTGCCTCGGCCTCCCAAAGTGCTGGGATTACAGGCTAAACACTAAGTCCGGCCAGCATTTATTTCTAAACTAAAAATGAACATGATGTGATCGTGAAGCCAGGGATTTGTGCATGAAATTCTATGACTTCAAAGAGTCTCATCAGTTATATGGGTTTCTGTTAAGCTACTCTGAAAATTGAACAATTGGTAATAAAAACAAATAATACATCTTTAAATGGAATATATGGTTGTGTATACACACGTACACTAGAATGCATTTGAGGTCAATTTAGTTCATCACAGTACTATACATTCTCATCTACAGAAAAGAATTACTTAAAAGCAAAATAAGCATATTCTGAATTGAAAACTGTACTTAACAACTACCTCTAAATGGTAAGATGTTGGGTTTAATTTTCAGTAGCTATTTATCAATCATTAAAACTCAGAGCCATTAGCCGGGCATGGTAGCGCGCGCCTGTTGTTCCAGCTACTCGGAAGGCTGAGGCGGAAGGATCGCCGGAACCCAGCAGGTCGAGGCTGCGGTGGCTGGGAGCGGCCACTGCACTCCAGTCTGGGCGACAGAGTGAGACTCCAACTCCAAAAAACAGAAAGAAAAGAAAAGCAAATCTTTAACCGGACATGGTGGCTCATGCCTCATTAAAAGTTAAATAAGGCCGGGCTCGGTGCCTTAGTCTGTAATCCCCAGCACTTGGGGAGGCAGAGGCAAGGGGACTTCCTGAGCCCAGGGGTTCAAAACCAGCCTAGGTAACTTGGTAAGACCTTATCTCTACAATAAACCAAAACATTAGCTGGGCATGGTAGTTCCAGCTACTTGGAAGGCTGAGGCGGAAGGATCGCCTGAGCCCAGCAGGTCAAGGCTGTGGTGGCCGTGAGTGTGCCATGGACTCCAGCCTGGGCAACAGAGTGAGACTTTGACTCAAAAAAAGAAAAGAAAAGAAAATAGGTAAATTATTAAAAGTAGTTCAATTGTATAATAAAAATGGATGAATTTAATGGTATGTAAATTATACTTCAATACAATTTTTAAAAATAGCTTTTTATTGATACATTATAGTTGTACATATTTAGGGGTCAATAAAGTTGTTTTCTAAGAAGCACCTGATCCCTCCATCCAGAAATAACCCCACTGTTGATATTTTGATATAGTTCTTTTTGATATTATTCTTTCTTGTATCATTAATTTTATACATCTTTCATTAAGATTATATATCTAATTTTATACCCAGTTGCTCTTATTTAACTTTTTTTTATTGAGTTGGGGTCTCACTCCGTCACCCAGGCTGGAGTGCAGTGGCATGCTCACGACCACCCCAGCATCGACCTGCTGGGCTCCAGTGATCTTTCTGCCTCAACCTTCCAAGCAGCCAGAACTACAGGCGCACGCTACCATGCCCGGTTAATTTTCTATTTATTGTAGAGACAAGGTCTCGCCAAGTTGCTGGGGCTGGTCTCAAACCCGTGAGCTCAGGCAATCCACTCACCTCGGCCTCCCAAAGTGATGGGATTACACGCTAAGGCACCGAGCCCGGCCTTATTTAACTTTTAATGAGAATTTTCCCATGTCACTAAATAGTCTTTGAAGGTATTTGTAATAGCTATATAAGCTTTGTGTTTACACTTTTTTTTTTTTTTTTTTT